AACTTTTCATATATGCTACCATGTAATGGATTTCGAGGCTTAATGCTCTTGCTGTAATCTTATTTTTATAATTATTTATTCTCATCAACAATTATAAAAATGATATTTACCATTCAATCTGTTAACAAAGCTATAATAGAGTTTTCTTAATATTGGCATTGAGATATCACAACAGTCAATGAACATTGATATTTTTGGGTTAACATCCTCATGTATACATATCCCAACTAGGATAGGTTATTCTATATCTCTTGAAAAAGAAAGCTTTATCTAGCAGGCAACCGACCTATTCTAGTCAGGGTGGAAAGAGTAGATATTCTGTTATCCTATCAGAGTAGTTATTCAATGGATCCTCCAATTAATAAATTTCAATACCCCCCTGTCTAAATTCGTATTTGCGCACAGTAGGTCATAAATGAATTATTTATACGTTTTTAATACCTACATCTTAAGAAAAAAATTAATAAAAAAAAAATTAACTCCTTAGAAGATTACTACATCATGGGTGCAGTCCTAAATGCATCAACAATGGAGTTCAAGAACCACTAATTCTTGTGTTAGAACATTCCAGTCTACACTCAATCCCCACGTTTTAGTCTCCTTTCTCACCTACCCACTGGCCCATTAATCCTTTAGGTTTATGTCCTCTCAATCATTCCCTTAACTGTCTTGACGAAATTTTCTCAGATCATAGTCCATTAATACTCCAGTTATCTCTAACTCCTATTTCTAATCCCGTTCCACCGTCCTTCGTCAGGGGTCCAATTAAGTGGAAACGCTTTCATAAAATCCTTTTCAATAAAATTGATCTTAGAATAACCCTGAAAGAGCTTAACAATATCGCACATTTCTTCACCACAATTATTCAGCAAGGAATCTGGGCTGCTCGCTCCAATAAAACCATACCTTAAGAACTCCCAAGAAAAATATTTTACTTCAGCACCTCAGTGACCTAATCCACAACAAACGATGGACCAGATTATTATAGCAATCTTCCAGACACCACACCGAACGCCACTCCTAAGATTATTGCTGTAAATAAAAATTGTTTGTGTTTATTCATGAAATTAACAACTGTATTAAAATAAATCTAAATCTTGTAAATGTGATACATAGATATTCAATTGTATGAAAGGCCTATAAAAAATCTACTCATTGATAGCACTCTAATATCTTTAAAAAATTAAACAGAAACTGGTCACTGATCCTAATCCTTCAAGTCCTACCTTACTTTTTTCTCTGCTCATGAAAATTCCCTATGGAAGATCACTAACAAAATCCTATCATCCCATCAAATTTCACATCCTATCCGAAGTGATAACTCTTTTATTTTTTTAAATATTGGCAACTTATATTCAACGAATAAGATCTTAAGAAACCAATACACATTTCAGAATTAAAATATAATTAAATATTTTTCATTAGTCATTACATACCCTTTAACGGATAGGTAATGAATTTTTAGTGTTTTGAATCGTGTCAACCTTCTCACGAAATATCACTGGAAAATGTAGACCATTAAACATAAAAACTGGTCCAGCTGTTGGCACAAAACATCGTTACATACTTTTTAGCGAATCGATTAAAAACGTTTTATTGAATAACATGTCAGCGGTTTTAGTTCAAATTGTTTCAAAACTCTCACGGGACCCCAACGAATAATTTGAATCATCAAATTACGATTACGGTAATTTATATTACGTGATCTATTGCAATCATAATCACGTTTCCGAATACGATTGTAATCAGTTAATAAAGGTAATCGTTTCAAAATTTTGCTATATTTATAGTGCTATAGTGTCATGTATAAAACTGGCGTTGTCATTACGTTTTATTTTCCGTTGTAATCAAATAATCATTGATTACGATTTTGCCAACCTCTGCCACAGTATTACATTACTCAATAACATCATACTAAAAAGAATATTGGGAAATATACATCTAACTACTTCTATCATATTTAAAATGAAGGACAACTTTTTCATTTGAAATAGAATTGGAAAAAGTTAGAAATATGATTAAAATCTTGTCAAATATTAGTTTATATAAAAATGAGCGTAAATTTATTAATTAAAGAATTTTCTACTCTTAAAATAATTTCAAAGTATTCATAATTGAGAGATATGTTCAAAAAAAGGAATCTCAATATAAACAAAAATCAAGTTCTGGCCAAATATGCAACATAAAATATGGCCAAAAGATTTAAAATGACTTGTTCTATAGAGATAAGGCTAATTTTTTTTTTTAATATGCAAAAAAAAAACTAGATGCATTTTCATATGAATTCACGCCGTAGTAATAATTATATATTTCACCGAAATCATTAAAAAAAAACTGCAAATTATTTTAGAATGGTTTATTATTTCCAAACAATTATAGATCGAACGTAACATTACCTTCCTAATGACAAATAAAAGGAAATAAAACGTGATTCCAATTATCGGCCTAAACATTTTTTTTTTTCATCGTTAGTAATTTGCTAAAAAAAAAAGTAGCATTACTTCAGTAACATATTAAAAAATCAAAACAAAGGATATAACATATGCAGTAGAACATACTTTTAAATAACCATAACAATAGAAAAGTGTATACTTTTTGAGTTATTCGTAAACTAATTTTACTATCCCTCGAAACTTTATTTCCATCTACTTTTCGTTGAAGTATATTATCTAGATACATATAAAGGGCATCGAGAAGAACACTTTAGCCTAGTTCTATTGAAATCGGTAGGCGCTACGCTCAATAGCAAATCAAGTTTTTCGGCCGCCATCTTGAAAGGAATAGGCAGATAGTAATTTCGATGAAGGAGGATCATCCTTGGGTGACCTCTGACTTTAAATCCAAATTTGAAAAAAAATCGGTCGGGTAGTTTCGGAGGAAATATGCGGACGGCGGATGGACAACCAATTTTTATTTGTTTTTGAATTCTGCATATCCTGAAACATAAAACCTCAAATTTTGAGAGGGTTTTAAGTTTTTGAATTTTTGTTCGATCACAATGGTTCATTATTAAAAATAATAAACCAAAATCAATTGGTATAATGTGTTTTACGACGTACAGCGTTATTATTGGTTTTATAAATCATTCTTATTATGACTCATGATTAGACAATTTGACTAATTAAAATATAGACATTTTTTAGTTTGTTTTTTAGTACATAAAAATTAAGTTCAATTAGGGAAAGGAAAAATTATACATTTGTAAAAATTAATGCAAAAAAATAAGGCATATTAACGACCATTGTTAGCACATAGATTGATGCTTCTAGCAGAAAACTCACCATTGCGATAAATCTGAACAAGACCATAGCCCACCTGAATAGGAGCATTAATAAAATGGCTGAGTGACAATGGGAGAGCTATTTGGGTGGAACAATATGACCACTATTGGACGGCCTGCTCCAACAATCAGCCAGAACATTGGCCATTTTCGAGGCAATTACACGCATGTGGGCATTGGATTCCGTATAGAAACATTCGGCATATATACCAGAGTTCGCCCACTTTCGATCCATAGCGCAACAATGGTACGCACGGTCATAAATGGTAAAAGGATTTTGGAACAATTTCTCCATCCGAATGAATACACAGTAATTATTGACTCTTTACACACATCCTTTACAGATAGAATATTAAAATAATTACGAAAGAAGCATAATTGAATAAAGTTTCAATTTTACTCATTATTATAATTGTGGGTTGATGGTTGACTGTAGTGAATAATTGAAGAGAAGATAATTGGGGGTGATCAGTCAAAAAATATTTATTTTTACATTTGCCGACGTTTCGGCACGAAGTTCAGGCCTTCATCAGGGCTAATCGAAGAAAAGATTTGCAGAGATCAAGAGATCAAGGATCTCTGCAAGAATTTGCTTCGATTAGTCCTGATGAAGGCCTGAACTTCGTGCCGAAACGTCGGCAATTGTAAAAATAAATATTACTATTTATTTTGGCCAATTTTTATTATTTTGACTGATCACCCCAACCATCCTTATCTTCAATTACGCATTATTAATTTATTTTAATTATTGAAATACTTATGAATGTACTCATCCATTTGTACTACAGTACTCATTGATTTCGATTATTGTTGCCCAAAATCGGTCTTGGTCTTGCACTTTGCTTGACCAAGACCAGGACTAGCAAAAAAACAATCGTTACTGTGAATAAAAATTAAGACAAAATAGTTATTAATACTTGACTATTTTAGTAGTCTGGTAGTATAGTAGTGGTTACACAAATACTATATGTAAAGAATTTGTATAACCACTATACTTTTGTATTTAACCTTTCTAATTTTTCATTTTGTTAGGTTTCCCCCATCTGAAAAATGACAATAATATCTCTATAGTAATAGGTTAATAAGTAACTACAAGACTGTTGCAAATCTCGTCAAAACTTGGGCAACACTAATTTCGATGAATGTCCAGACTAGAAGACCTCTTGATAAATTACTAATACACAATTTTCATGAATAAAGTAAGGTGGCCAACCATGTTTTTTGTATTTTTGATGATATGGTGCGACCGGTTGTGGTGCTGCAGCAAGAAGGATATCGAGAATTAAACAATGCAGTCTAAGATTAAAACATTTTTATCAAAATATAGTGTCTTAGATATAGATATATAGTCAAAATATAGATCTTCAGGTATATGAAAAAAAATAAGTAATTGCATTTTTCGTTTGATTTCCAATTTATTTTCATATTATATATTTACACCATTAGTTACACCATTCTTAGGCATAAGTCACAAAAACCAACTATCATATTTTCTGGACTAACCGAAACAGTGATGCAAAATACTTATAAATATATTAATTTAATGGATAAACATTATTGTCCAATACAGTACAATGTAATTGAGATATAATGAATTAGACAATAATCAATGTGCATTTAATTAATATAATATATTAATTCAATGCATATACATTATTATATACAGACATAACATACTACAGAATAGATTATGTTTCAGTAATTTTTATCACAGTGAATTGTTGGTATTGATATCTTTTCAGACATAACTGAGGATAGTGTGATATCAGTAACTTATAAAATGGGCAAATACAATGATTTTTTTATTTGGAAAATTCACATAATATTGAAATGACAACATTCTAAATAATTTAATATCTTACAAATGAAAACTTTAATTTAGAGACATGTTTATAAAATGTTTCTATTTTTACAGAGGTGTTATGTAAATACATATACAATACAACAATTAATAAAGATTGTGATCGAGACTTATTTTGTCAAATCTACACAGTTGAAAATAAGTTCTATTAATAATAATTTAGTAATCGCTCCCTGCATTAAGCTCAAACTGATTCTCCATTAAAGGTTGATCCATGTCAGTGACTGCAACGTATGGGCAAAGATTGGGCAATGGTTCTTCTAAAGCTCCATTCTTCATTGCCTGATATCTGAGGAAAAAAAAAAGGATATGTATTATGAATATTTATTAATTTAATAATACGGTCGTATATAAATAGAATTAAATCCGTCGTATCAATGGCTGAGCAGATCCAATAAACATCGATATGAGATATGTTATCTCGTGAGAAAGCAATCCACCGACAATATTCTGGTTGGCTGTCGAATACCCTGGATCGGATTATTGGTCAGGAGCGGTGGATGCCGCCCCTCCCCAATTTACGACCCGGGTATATAAGCAACCCGTTCCGAAGCAATTCCTTGGATCATTAACTTCGGCAACCTCACGTTGGGTTGCCCTAAGGACAGGATCCCAACCCTATAAAATGTAAAGTGGGTCGATTGGCAAGGGGCCTTTCCCAGGGTTATTCTATAGTTATAGATTAATTTCAGACTACATCGAGCAACATTTTATTAATAATAAACCTGAACAAAATATATTTTACTTAATTTAGATTAATAGGAGTAATTCGTTTTTAGTTATATATCTATTATTTAAATGGAGTCCTTATATTTATTACAAGTAAATCTGAAACAATAATTTTCACAAAATAAATTAACAAATTTTCATAAATTCTGCCCGCAACCTCTGGTCTACGTCGAGAAAAAAATAACTCTATACCGATCTCACATTCATTCAACGAATTCAGACAAAAAAAAAAGGACACAACAAAAAATCTTAATTAAGAACTGAAAAAAAAATTATGAAACCTCAAACACCTATAATTTTTATTGATAATGTCTTGTTATTCAATAAAAAAAAAAAAAAGGTAATTTAACTTAATGACACAGTCCCATTTGGGAGAATATATATATACAATGTCAAATTAAAAATATGATTAACACTAGTATCGCATTATGTTAAATTAGATTTTGTAAGAAACTTGTTGCTAATTAAGTCTTTACGGATGGTTTGAAATGGCGGCATAGCTGAAACGTCAGTGTAGAAAATAAAAAACGTTTACCTTATAAAGTTTGTATTGCATCCTCACCGTTTTCATCGGCTAAAATATATCTGTACAACAAGATCTAAAATTGTACATATGGGAATGAAATCTCTGGCTGAATCCGATATTCAGTAATCCCTCAACATATACAAGTTCGCGTTTCACGGGTTTTGTTCATCAGCAAATATTAAAATGCAAAAGAGTTTCGCATTTGCAGATTGCATATTTGATGATTGATGATTAAAAAACAATTCCAGTGCATACTGAACATTAATGCGTATAGATATGCGAATAAATGACTCCAAGAATAAAGTGATGGTTATGGCGAGAGATGAAAAGGAAGACGTCCATTTGGATTGCAACGGAGAAGTTCTTGAGGTAGTGAAGGATTACACACACTTAAATACCGTAATTATTAGTTCTGGAAAGATAAGTGCTGAGACTTAGAATAGAATATCCAAGGTAAATCAAGCATGCTACGAGATCGCTAGCTCCTCGAGATCCTCATCTACCGTGAAGTATATAAAAAGACCAAGATGCAAGTTTATATTACGATGTACCTGCCTATTCTCACCTATGGCGGAGAAACCTGGACTATGTTAGACAAAAATTACAGTCGCATAACAGCAGCGGAAATGCGGTTCCTGCGTAGAACGGTGGGAAAAACTAGGATCGTATTAGAAACGAAACTATAAGAGAACAGCTGGAAGTGCCTGAACTCAAAATCACTTTGGAGAACAAGCAACTAAAGTGGGTTGGACATGTCTGTTGCATGAACGAGGACATGGACCCTATAAAAGTATAAGAGGCTAGATCCACAGAGAAGAGACCACAAGGGCGTTCCAGAGTTTCATATCAGGAGTTCATGCAGAGGATCGTAGGTAAAAGAGGCAAATAATTTAAACAAATAAAGCTGTTAAGCCGAGACCGGGAAGAGTGGCTGCACTGGATATAGGCTCCTCGAAATGTCATTGTGAGGAAGACAAAGAAGAAGATTTCCATAAAAATTTGAATTAAAATTTTTAAGATTATATTTTGCTTAATTGCTATAAATATTAATATTTTCACTCAAAAAAGTATTTTAATTGAATAAACACTATTTGGTGGTTATGTTTTAAAAATTAGGGTACTAAACTGGTGCTTCGATGTGGAAGTGAATCCAACAGGAGGAATAGACCCCACCCACATCAACTCTCAGTGTTGATGAAAACAATATGGAAGCCACCACCGGCGAAGGAAAATGAATTGTCAAGATTATTCCAGAGATCCAAGAAATAATGCAAGGACCATTACTCAAAACGAGATACCCACAACGGTATGTAATCCGTATGAGCTAAGTAATTTAAAAGAAGAACAGTCTGCAAATAATATATTACCCCTCAATTGATAAACCACGCCAAATTCGTATTCATGGTGTTCAAAATTATCAAGCTCTTGTTTCGTTTTTAGAAAACAATTTAGGTCAAAATTCTCTTTCCCACACAACAAACATGAAATGCGTGACTGTCTAACCCAACACTTATAAAATATCTCCGAAATTGGTAAGAAGTTTCCGGAATACGTCGAGAAAGAAGCTGAAAAAGAATCGACACTTGCCGATTCCTCTAAGATAAGAATACAAGAATAGTCACTAAAAATTTACATCACAATCTCATTAATGAAATTACATATGATTTGCAAAACTATGGCTACGAAGCCGTAAATATTATAATAAAAGCCATTTCTAGATTTAAAAAGCCTCTACCAATGTTTTTCGTTACATATCTAAGTCAACCTATAATGCGGGTTTTTTTCTCGGACCAGGGTTAATGCCTGAGTTAAAAAGTCCCTCCGGCAAAAGGATGCGAACTTATAAGTATTTTACCAAGTAAACTTCGGTTTATCAGGTTGCCGAGCAACGCGTGTTTAAAACTACTCCTGCTTTCCGCTATGCATTTCTCCAAAACTACTATGCCGATTATTTTAAGATTCATTATAAACGTCATTCCCTAGGATGATGCTCGAAACACAACGGAAGATGTAAAAGAGCTAATTACTGTCTGTAAGAGGATTGCGAGAGGAAGAATGTTTCGATAGGAGACTAAGGCGAGTGAAAATTTTAGAAATTGAAAAACAATAACTGTAAAAGCCAAAAAAAAAAAAAAAAAAAATAAAAATTCGGGATATAAAGATATATGTTAATTAATTAAATTAAATTTTATAATTAATTTTAGATACATAGTTATTAATCTACTCACTGTTCGAATACGACATGCTGACCATAGCCTGCGGCCTTAAGATTCCTGACTTCAGCTTCTACGGCATTGATATTTTGCCACAGTTCCTGACATCGGTTATACATTCCGTTTAATGTCTGACGAAGTAGAGAGATCCTCTCCATCTTCTTGCGCCGACACCTGGAAGCTGCTTCCCGATTTTGTATTCTACGAAGATATTTCTTGATCTCCAGCGCATCGGTCGGCGAGTACTCTGTCTGGTCATTATTGACATCTGAGGAACTGGAAACCTCAGCGGTTGCCATAGATGGATCCTCTGCTCCCACTTTCATATAAGAAAATCTCTCATCATATAAATAGGGATAGTAGCCGTTACATTGGTTCGTGATAGGCGGTAGCGTGTAGTTCTTATCATATGTGGTTTCAGCATACGGTACGTCTACGTTGTTGTAAGACATCTCAGGCCTGAAAAGTATGAATAAATCATAAATTAACTGATAAATTGGATATTTATGATGACTTTTATAGGTATTTACTTCACTTCGAAGAGAAGAACTCAAACACGATCCAACACCTCCAAGCTTGGGACCTAGACTGTCTCAGGCTTTACTCTTTATCTATACCTATCAAGTTTCATTCCTACCTATTTTTTTATTAAAGGCTTATCTGTAATTCTTCTCAATAAAGATAAGGCAGTATCAATTCACAAAATGATTCACAGAGTTATAGATTAATTCAGATATAGACTTTTATCAAACTTCTGGTTCAAGTTACCATTAAAGGATTTTATTTAAAATAATTTAAAATTGTTCATTTAATATATAGACCAATAATCTTAATATTTCAACACAAACAGTAATTTAAATAATAATTGTAATTATTATGCCTGGGTCAATTCAAATACACTACTCTTGACAGTTATTCTTTTCGAGATTGGACATAATCCTCCACGACTTAAAAAATGATCGGCGACCAATGACATCACACAAGTGAAATAAGGGGTCGGATGGAAATTACGATATTTATTCAATAATAATGATATGTAATATACAATGATCTATACAATTAAAAAAAACCTAGTGCGGCGCATCAATAAATTAAATACCAATGCATAAAAAATGAATTCACCCTACTATCAGTATTTTTTAAAAATTTAATGAACTTAAGAACATTAATTGCGACTATTAATAGAAAGTATGGCAATCTTGTGCATTTTTTATTTTTTTAGTATCAGAATCAACATACATTTTCCATTTAAATTCCCAGTTTTCGTGGTAAAATTTATTTCCATAATTAAAAACCAATAATAAAAGTAGACACTAATAACTATAATAGGGAAAATTAATTATTTTAACGCTATTCTCCATTAACTTCTACGACTTCATATGTCATTTTTTTTAATCTCTAGTTTTCCAATGGTATATTATACATCTATGTCACTACTCTCATGACCAGAAATTGGTAGGGGTGAAAATAATTCATCTATTTTCTCTCTTACTTGTCGATGTTTTTCAAGGTTCATATCGATCGATCTACTATTTATTAAATTTACTATATGTATATTTGTTCTTATACAGTTGTAAATTTCAGAAATAAATAAATAAAAATATTTATCTATATTACATTAATACTAACGAGAGAACTGAAGGCTTTAAGAGAACTGAAGAGAGCTTTTATTTTATTTTTTTTTTTGTAGATCAAAATTGAAGGCAGTTTAAAAAATGAAATTTTGAAAATTCGGCATTTAAGCCTTGTCAGGCGAGGACACATTTCGATGAGGACCTACCTTAAATAAAAACCGCTTGATAGTACATTGAAATTAGGAATATATTCAAAATAGTTGATTTGGTATCCCAGGTATATTCCTATCCCAAATGCGTAATATTAGTTCCGCACGACTTCTTGAGCTAAGCTGTTAAGGCACACATCGACAGACACACTGCAATAACCAATAAGAACAGAAAAGAAAAATTTGTAGGATACCAAAAAAAACGGCGTTATTTTGTTCTGTGAGCATTATATTTTCGGCTTATTTTATTATTTTTTGCAGGCCTATGACAAAGACGTAATGCTCTATGTAGCTTCTTTTATTGTATTTCTGCCATATAATCTATTAGAGCCATAACTTCTAACTTATAGCTTTTTAGTTATTAGATATTCGTTAGGTAAAAAAAATCAATTTTACTGTAATAACATAACTTTGTTGATAATTACCCATAACTTTGTTAATCATGATCAAATCATGACAGGAACAAAGTCAGTTTCCAAAATGTAGAGAAACAATACTTCAAATAAACATTTGAATTTAACTGAGAGTAGCAAGTGTCATGGCCGCAAGTGCAGTTGAAGATTCACGTCGCTCTGTATTTGTTACTATGTAATGTGGTTACTATTTAAAATTCTGGTGTAAGACTATATCAACAGTGACTATATAAACAGTGGTACATTTTATGTCACATATGTTCAGGTTAGTAACTATTGATTAACAATGAAGCAGTAATAAATTAGTGCTCGTTCGGCAAGCCCAAGTGGCCCGTAATCCCTTACGGGTTTACCTTATCTGTAATAAGCTACGGTCAAGACTCGGCTCTGTGTATACTAACATTCTTCGGCTTTGTTCACAGTTCGAATCCAAGACATTTAGGTTTTTTTTTTTTCTTTTTTTTTTTTTTCTCTTTATATTTTTAATATTTTTCAGGAGACTTTTATTTTATTTACTCATTAATTAATTCTGAAATGAATTATTTTATATTATATCTGTATATAGTTTGTAAATAGTTTAGTTCTTAAGAAGCTATCTTATAATTTTCACTTTAATATTTAGGTTTAAAAAACATTTTTTTTTCTCTCTTTCTCTCACACTCATTTATCCATCATGGATAAATCCATGGATTTGGATAATAACACTTCTTGTGAAGACTCGGAGAACGAGACACCCTTTTCAGAAATTAGCGAGACTGACTCGCAATACTTGAAAAGACGTACGCTCCAAAAGCGTGTCCGAAACTCCGCTCCCGGTTCGGGAAGCAACTCACCAAATAAGAAAAAAACAAAAAATAAATCAAACAAATTAAATAAGCCAGCAGAACAAGAAAAATCTCCACCTAAAACGAGGAGTAAATCTAATGCCACACAATCAGAGCCAACTGCACCAAGCACCTCAGCCAGCAAGAATACTATTCTCGATAACAATTTATCAAGCAAGATTCCGAAGCCTCAAGATTTTTCTGACCCCGAACCGCCACCTGTTTTTGTTTCAAAAATTGAGAACTTCGTGTCGTTTGGTCAAGAAATTGCAAAACTAATCGGACAGCCAAATTTTCGCTGCTTCTCTCGAATCAATGACATTAAAATAAACACGAACTCTAGAGAAAACTATAAAAAATTGATTAGCCATTTATCTTCCAAAAACTACGACTTCCATTGTTACCAATTGAAACAGGACAAGGCGTTTCGAGTAGTCCTGAGAGGTCTACATTCAACCACTCCTATATCTGTCATCAAAACAGGCCTGGAAGAAATCGGTCATAACGTCAGGCACATAGCACCCGTACTACATCCTAGGGAAAGATATCCGCTTCCATTATTTTTTATAGATTTGGAACCAGCAAAAACGAATAATGAAATATTTCAGGTTCAACGTTTAGTATACTCGACAGTACGATTTGAAGAACCAAGACAGAAGCCCCTAATAGTACAATGCACTAAGTGTCAAAACTTAGGGCATACGAAGACATATTGCCATCACGAGGCCAGATGTGTTAAATGCGCCGGTTTTCACGCTTCAGACACTTGCCAGAGGCCAAAAGATGAGCCCGCTACATGTGCTCTTTGTGGTGAAGCCCACCCTGCAAGCTATAGAGGTTGTGAGGTGTATAAAAATCTTCACAAACAGAGATCACGCAACTTAGCGACGAAAACCCTTGGACCTGCTCAAAAAACTTGTCCTGAGCCACCTGAAATTGAAAATCAGGAAACATTCCCTGCTTTGCCGACTTCACCTTCCATCGCCGTCCAACGACAACCATCCATCTCTACACTTAAGGATTATCCTCAACAGAACTCAAGAAATTCTCAATGGCAGCCTTGCATCATTAAGAAGCAGCCTCAAAGTCAGGCGCCTCAAACCTCCCAATCCAAGCCCAAAAGCTCTAATACTCAACCTCAACAGCCTCGTCAGCCAATCCCTCCCCATCAGCTACCCTTAAGGGTCAAACTCCCGCCAGAGCACCCACACCCAGCTCCACTCGTTCCTACTCCCAAGATGAACCTCCCATCACAAGTCCAACAGAATTTAGATCCTACTCCTCGTACCCCACGTCGGACCCACCCTCCACCCAGCAATCCTATTCGCATAGATTACTCATCACAACCTCATGACCTAAATCCACTTCCCAGCCAAACATCATCCGACATCAACTCTATCCTATCATCATTCCTGATAGATCTTCAACAGACTATCAAACCGCTTATAACTCTTCTCACAAGACTCCTTTCCGAAATCCCGTTTAACTTCCGATGAATACAAAGCCCCTAGCTATCCTCTTATGGAACGCTAACGGACTACAAAACCACCGTGACGAACTAGACATATTTCTCCATGACAATTATATTGACATTGCTCTTCTGACAGAAACTCATTTCACTCAACGGACACAATTCTACATACGTGACTACATCACTTATAGATCTGACCATCCAGACAACACTTCCCACGCTGGCTCTTGCATCCTTATACATAAATCTCTATCGCATTCCCTTATCCCTTCTACTCCAACTGATGCCATTCAATCAACTTCTGTAATCCTTTCAACTCGTCCTTTCCATCTAACACTTTCAGCTGTATACTGTCCTCCTGGTAATTCCCTCTCTTATAGCCTACTTGATTCCTTATTTCAATCCCTCGGAGCGCGCTTTATTGCCGGAGGAGACTACAATGCTAAACACCAACGATGGGGTTGTCGAACATCCAACTCCCGCGGTAGCATCCTATCACGTGTCTCTTCTTCCAACAGTTATTCAATCCTCTCACCCATGAATCCTACATATTGGCCTACATCTCTGAAAAAACGTCCCGATATCCTGGATATATTTATCACCTCCCAGATTTCCTCCTCCCAATCCATTATCAAATCCCTGGATGACCTTTCGTCAGATCATAGTCCAGTTTTGCTTTTACTACATTCGAACTTTGCTCCTAAACCTAAACTTCCTAAACTAATTACAGGACGAGTGGACTGGGACAAATTTCGTCATGATCTGGAAGATAAACTGGACTTAAAAATTCCCCTCAAAACAAAACAACATATTGATAATGCCATAGAAAACCTTAATACAACTATAACAACGAGTATAAATAATAACACATTTGTTAATAATAAAAGCAATAATTTAAGACAAATTAACTTGCCACAGCATATTCGAATCTTACTAAGGGATAAACGCAGAGCAAGATCGAAGTGGCACAGGACTAGATATCCTTCAGACAAAACGTACTATACCGAATTGACTAACAAACTAAAATCAGAAATCAGAAAATATAAAACTCAACAATTACTGAACCTAACTGGAAATATTACAACAACTGACAAAT